CACTGATTAATGTCTGGCCCATAGTAGGTGCTCAATTAATACTGCTGAATAGATGAAGGATCCATAATGGACCCTCCAGGGTGGCAAAAAAAAAAAAAGGAAATATCTACAAACTTACTGAGCCAAGAACTGTCTTCAATGCACATTGCACTATATCTAAGTCCAAAGTCAAATGAAGAATGACTATACACATGAGGAATGAAGATAAGACTTCATGTAGAATTCACTGAGCTTTCTAATGTGAAAGGAGAAGCATGTCCATGTGTGCACAAATTTGCCATAATGAATGCGTAGGGGGAAGGATTGTTTACATACAAAACATTTCTCATGCCACATGGAGGAATTCAGTAAAAGGTTGGGTCAAATGGAATTTCATGTAATTCCAGAGTATATATTCTTTGTCCTGGGTTTTTCATTGTACTTTTCATCCATAAGCCAATCACTAAGCTACACATAAAAACAAGCAACTAAATAAATGACTTGCACCAAGAAGAGATTTTTCTGTGTTTGATAATTTCTAAAAACAGTATTTTACCTGATGATGTTTAGCCCCATATTTATTGGCCTCATACCAATACAAGCATTACAAATATGTGCTAGTCTCAAGGTGAAAAAAACACATCCTGAGCAAAACTCACTCCCAACCTATATAATGCAGATCTACCATTTTAATACTGCATCCTGGTGTTCAGAAACCCACACAGGCATAACAATATTAAGGTAATAATAATAACTGTTGGTTATTATTATAACCAATATATTAAATTAAAACTAGAAACTAATATGCAATAATAAACTAATCATAATGTTGTCAGCTGCCATCTGCTGAATGGTCACTTGTGAGCCAGGCACTAATTTACATACTTATTACAGATATTTCTGCTTTTAATCCTGACAACCTGTCTCAGAGGAAATGCCACTATTATGCCCTCCTTTGAAACATGAAGGAGCCCTGGTAGCACAATTCCTAGGCATCTAACTGCTAAACAGAAGGTTGGTGGTTCAAACCCATCAGCCACTCCATGGAAGTAAGACTGGGCAATCTATTTCCATAAAGATTTACCGTCTCAGAAACCCAATGGGGGTCGCTATGAGTCGGAATCGACTCATTGGCAGTGGGTTTGGTCTTTTTTTTTTTTTTAAAGATGAGGAAACGGAGGCTCACAGGGATTAAGTAACTTGCTTGAAATCAAACATGTGGTAGAGCCACAGTTTAAACCTAGGTCCGTCTCTCAGCAAAATCACAGCATTTAAATACTAGGATAATGGTTCCTCTGTGAACTTTTATTTACTTTACCTAATCACTTTATAACAAACATACATAGTTTTCAAAAATAATCTTAATACAAATCAAACTTATATTCAAATATATGACTTTCTTTTCCAAAAAGGGAAATAATAAGACAACTTTCCTTTCCAAGGGGGGAGAAGAGTTCTTCCTGCCCACAAACATATTAACTTAATAAAAACCTGGCCCAGTTTTGGCAATGCTTATACCACTCTATAGTCATCTCTCTAAAACAGCCTGGAGCTTAGGGTTAAAAAGAAAACAAAAAAGTAACCTACAAAAGCAAGTCACTTATCACATTAGCCCCAATATTCTATGTTGAGGGAACACAAGAGGTGCCTCAGTGGACCCAAGGATGACTACAAGAATCATTCCATCCCTGAAAGTTCAAATGGGAGGCCAGCTCCACATGCAATGGTACAAGTGTCCTCACTCCTTCTCAAAGCTAACCCTTTGCCTGGGACACTGGACTCTAGAGCATGATAAATGAAAAAAACACAGGTTTAAGAGTCAAGCAGCCTGAGCTCTAATCCTGACAGTAAACCAAAACCAAGCCCATTGCCTTCCAAATCATGTGCCCCTAAAGAACCACCTCACAGGATTTCCAAGGTTGTAATCTTTACTAATTTACATACTTATTACAGATAAGTATAAGCAGTATATTGACAGAGAACTTCCAGAGGTTCAAGCCGGATTCAGAAGAGGACGTGGAACAAGGGATATCATAGCTGTTGTCAGATGGATCTTGGCTCAAGGCAAAGAATACTAGAAAGAGGTTTACTTGTGTTTTATTGACTATGCAAAGGCATTTGATTGTGTGGATCATGACAAATTATGGATAACATTGAGAAGAATGGGAATCCCTGAGCACTTGATTGTACTCATGAGGAATCTGTACCTTGACCAGGAGGCTGTCGTTCGAACAGAACAAGGGGACACTACATGGTTTAAAATCAAGAAGGGAGTGCGTCAGGGTTGTATTCTTTCTCCACACTTATTCAATCTATATGCTGAGCAAATAATCCGAGAAGCTGGACTATATGAAGAAAAACGTGGTATCAGGATTGGAGGAAGAATCATTAACAACCTGAGATATGCAGACGATACAACTTTGCTTGCTGAAAGTGAGGATGACTTAAGGCACCTACTGATGAAGGTTGAAGAATACAGTCTGCAGTATGGATTACATCTCAACATAAAGAAAACAAAAATCCTCACAACTGGACCAGTGAGCAGCATCACAATCAATGGAGAGAAGATTGAGGTTGTCAAGGAATTCACATTGCTTGGTTCTACAATCGATGCCAACGGAAGCAGCAGTCAGGACATTAGACGACGTGTAGCATTGGGAAAGTCAACTGCGAAGGAACTGTTTCAAGTGCTGAGGAGCAAGGATATCTCCTTGAGGACTAAGGTGTGCCTGACACAAGCCATGATATTTCCAATCACCTTGTATGCATGTGAGAGCTGGACAATGAATAGGGAAGACCGAAGAAGAGTTGATGCTTTTGAGTTGTGGTGCTGGCGAAGAATGCTGAAAGTACCATGGACTGCTAAAAGAACTAACAGATCTGTCCTGGAGGAAGTGCAGCCAGAATGCTCCTTGGAAGCAAGAATGGCCAGACTTCGTCTCACCTATTTTGGTCATGTTGTAAGAAGGGACCATTCCCTGGAGAAGGATGTCATGCTTGGTAGGGTGGAGGGTCGACGAAAGAGGGGGAGGCCTTCAACGAGATGGATTGATACAGTGGCTGCGATGATGGGCTCGAGTATAGCAGGGATTGTGGGGCTGGTGCGGGATCGGGCAGTGTTTCGTTCTGCTGTGCATGGGGTCGCTATGAGTCGGAAACGACTCGACGGCACTTAACAACAACAACAACAATCTTTACAGAAGCAGACTACCACATCTTTTTCCCACAGAGCACCTGGTGAGTTTAAACCACAGACCTTTCAGTTCGCATCCATGTGCTTAACCACTGCCTATCTATCCAACTGTTCAAACCAGAAATTTAAAATTCTTTATTCCCTCCCTTTCCTTCACCCCTAATACCAAACATCAGCAATTCCTATTGGATCTGTATCCAAAATATACCCAAATCCATCCACATCTCTTCATCTCAGTTTCTTCCACCCTTGGACAATAGCCTTTCTTTTCTCATTCAGTCTATGTAAAAGTCCCAACCTTTCTCCCTGCTTTACTCCTGTCCCCTGATGTCATATACTACACAGAAGCCAGAGTAAACATTTTTTAAATGTAATCATGTCTCTTCCACACTTGAAAAATATCTGACTTCTTCTCATTTCACTCAATAAAATCCAAACTTGCATTCACAACTAACATGGCGCTATATTACCTTAGTCCTGCCACTACGACCCTCCAACCTCATGCCCTTCTACTCCCTACTTGCTCATTATACTCCACCCTGGAGCCCTATGACAGATCCTTGCAGGGCTGGATCCTTCCCCCATGCAGGTCTCAACTTAGACCTCACCTTCTCAGAGAAGCCTTCCCCAAACTACCAACCTGAATTCACCAGACCCAATCACTCTTTGTCACATTCTGTTTCACTCTCTTCAAAGCACTTAAATTACTCATTCATTTGTCCATTACACATGGTCTGTCTTCCTCTACTTAAAAGGAGGCTAAACAAGGGCAAGGACCTTGTCTTCCTTATTCACCAGGATATCCCTGGGACATAGAGTGTGCCTGGCACATGGTAAACCTGTTGCCATTGAGTCGATTCTAACTCATATCAACCCTACAGGACAGAGTAGCACTGGCCCATAGGGTTTCCAAGGCTATAATCTTTACAGGAGAGTGCCACATCTTTCTCCTATGGAGTGACTGCTAGGTTCAAACCACCGACCTTTTGGTTAGCAGCTGCATACTTTAACCATGGTGCCACTAGGGCTCAATAAACATCTGTTGATGTAAGAACAAATGAGGCAAAGGAGGGAATAACTGGAAATAAAGACTTTGTAAAGCAGTTTTAAGGGACTACACAATGAAAACAACAATCTAAAGTGGTAAAGTGTTAATACTATGAATGAAATTTCCTTATTTATTGAATTCTGACTTGTCCATAGCTTAAGCTATTTTAGAGGCAACGCAATCTAGGGAGTACCTACCTGTGGTGATAAAGCTATGTTAATTTTCATACCTGAATCAAAGAATTAAAAAAAAAAAAATGCCAAGGCTAAAAGGGCTGCAGAAAATCCCATACTCTAAAAGGATTTTTCTGCATCTTCAAAAACATTTCTGAGAGCAAGAGTTCCCTGAGCTTCCTCCTATACTTAGGCTGCAATAAATTCAAATCAAATATGAAGACCAGGAAGAGACAGAACAAGAGGAAGATAGAAACAGCTCTCCTCCCCCAGAAAACAGAGGGTGACTATTCTCTGATGCCCAGGGCTCTTCCACCAGTGAAGCAGTAAAATGTTGGCTCTTCTTAATGGAGGTTTCACAAACCCACACCTCACCCCCTGCTGCCAGGTGACAGCAAACAGCAGCGCTTTTGCTTGCCTCTTCTAGTTGCGCTCCCTTCTGAACCAATACAACATAGGGAAGGAAGGGTAGGAGAAAGAGAAGGAGGGATCAAAGTGGTAAAATTGTAAAGAACTGATCCAGTACATCACTTCCCAGACAGCACACACCGTACTAGGTAACGTTGAACACTGAAAATGCACGCCAACAAGACGACCCACGCAGTACCTCATCATGGACCAAAGGGCTCCAGGAGACACTGGGAATCCACTGCTCTTGGGTTCCAGTGGCAGTGAGGAGTGGCAGGCACCCCAAGCTCCTTTGTGAGGGAATCGCTGCTTCCCATTCTCTCGGTGAGAGTGTGCTGGCAGTGAGGAGGGCTGGGGGCTCCCAGGCTGCTGAGGGCTGCACTGATGAACAACCCCATTGCTCCTTTTTGTATAGAGAATGAAGGTAAAACAAAGTTAAACAGAATTATAAGGCTTACAACAAGAAATAACAGTACTCTGCTCCCCATAAGCAACCAATCATTCTCAAGTATTATAATTCTTTTGTTTCTGGTATTTCCAACCCAAACCAAACTCACTGCTGTTGAGTTGGATCTGACTCATAGCAATCCCTCCTTGGGTTTCTGAGGCGGTATCACTACGGAAGTAGATTGCCCCATCTTCCGTCCTAGGAGTGGCTGGTGGGTTTGAACCGCCAGCCTTTTGGTCAGCAGTCAAATGTCTTAGGCGCTACCATTCTATATTTAGAATAATATAATTATATTATTGTTTTCTGATTTTTTTTTCAATTTTAGACCTTATCATATTGACTTCCTACTACAGAAGACTAAGACTCAGTCCTTCTTACATGATCATGTCTAAACACACACATACACACATATTCTCCCTTCATTCTCTAAATAAATTTGTCTCATAATTTTTGGTTGAAGTAATGTTTGGTGTTTACATTATTATGATTTTATAAAATATTGCTCTTAGCTCAGCCACTTAATATATTCTGACCACACTTTCTTTCTTGACTCTTATAAGATACACACAGGTATGGAACCAAATTCTGGTCCCAACTCTTATCAACTATTACATGCTGAGAAGGCTCCATTCCTAGCCTCAGTTTCCTCTTCTGTAAAACAAGAAAAATAACAGTCCCTTCCTCATAGGATTGTCATATGCAATAAATGACTTAGTAATTGTAAGCAATGTGGCAAAACACCTAGCACACCACCAGCACTCAAGAAATATTAACTGTTATTGGCTAGGTCTCCCTGTTACTCTCTTACAATCCATACATGTTCTTCTTAGCACTTTTCACAGTTGTATTCAGTTATCCATGGGTTGGTCCCCTAATAATAGCCTGGTCTTTGGGCAAAGGAGCCTTATCTGTCTTATTCTCAGGTAGGTACACAATAAGCACATGTTGAATAATGGATAAAAGGATGAAGGAAAGAATGAATGACTCCAATTATACAGAACTTCTGGGTGTGAGAGTTAAAAGTTTCTTAAAAAAGGAAAGGAAGAAAAACCACACACACAAAAAACATGAGTTGTAAGACTTCTATGCTACATATCAGCAGTATTATTCCTTCCACAAAACCAGTAGTTTATTATGATGCTCAAGAAAGACTATTAAAAGAAAAAATAATAAATATTCCCCCTTTGAAAAGAGTGTATTCAACAGAGACAGGATGAAGAGGAGAGAAAGAAGTGTGGGATGAAGTGTCATAAGAACACAGGGGATATAATTTCAAGGAAGACATTAAAATAGCTGTGAAATTGAAATTGAAAGCATTTGTAGTCGGCTTTCCCATCCTTTTTCTGCAAGGCAAAGTAAAAAGAAGTTGGGAGACAGGTACAAGGAAAGTGGGAAGCAACAGGGATTTAACACTTGCTCTCTAAAATAAACGCTGGCAATGCAATTACTCCCATCGGTTGAGAGGAGAAAGTAAAAGGGAATTCTTCTATAAGTCAAGGGAAAGTTCTCCAATTCCTGGTTTTCTTGGCATAAGCTTGTACCAAAGTGATAACTGAACTCCCTTTTACATGCCTCTGAGATATACAGAGAGCTAACAGAGCACTAAATTTTATTTAAATTATCTCCAATTATCACATGCCTAAGGAGCTCTGGTGGTACAGTGCCTAAGGCATCTGACTGCTAACCAAGAGGTTGGCAGTTCAAACCCACTAGCCATTCAGCAGAAGGAAGATGGGGCAATCTACTCCCATGAAGATTTACCACCTTGGAAACCCAATGGGGGTCGCTATGAGTCTGAATCGACTTGATGACAATGGGTTTGGTTTTAGTATCACATACCTAGGCAAGAAGGTGATCAGAATTTAATGACTTATCTCAGCTTGTTGCTACTCAATTGCACTGCTCTTATCCTTATGTCAATAAGGAATAGAAAATAAGGGGAGGGGGCACTTTTCTAAAGATAAAATCCTTTATCTGACAAGTTAGGTGAATAAATCAGCCACATTTCTGAAAAGTTCAAAAGTTACAGGGCCTTATTAATTACTGAAAAACTTAGGGTCCACATATCCAATTGTTAGTAATTATGGATGTGATAAGGAAAGAAAGTCATAATACATTCCTAAACATTTTTATGCCTTAGTCATTCCTCTCATCTGTAATTCACAGGATAAAATAAATGTGCTTTAACTTTTTCAATGAAAATGGTATACTAAATAAACTTGTTCTTTAATTTAAGTATAACATATGAGTATTCTTAAATGATTTACATTGGCCCTTTGTATAATTCCCAATAGGTGCCACCCAAATCTTAGGTAATAATATCATCACTAGAGCAAGTAAACAGGCTACAAATTAGGTGTGCTCTTTGATGGATAGCACTCATTTGAATACAGAGATTGTCTTAGTTATCTTGTTGTTGTTGCTATTGTTGCTATGTGCTGTCAAGTTGGACCTGACTCATAGCGATCCCTCCTTGGGTTTCTGAGGCGGTATCACTATGGAAGTAGATTGCCCCATCTTCCTTCCAAGGAGTGGCTGGTGGGTTTGAACCGCCAGCCTTCTAGATAGCAGTCAAGTGCTTTAGGCACTATGCCACCAGAGCTCCTTTAGTTATCTGTTGTTGTTATGTGCTATTGAGTCAGACCTGACTTATAGAGACCCCCTTCTTGGGTTCCCGAAGTGGTATCACTACAGAAGTAGATTGCCCAACCTTCCTTCCGAGGAGTGGCTAGTGCTGCTATATCAGAAATACCACAAGCAGATGACTTTAACAAACACAAATTGACTCTCACACAATTTAGAAGGCTAAAAGTCTGAATCCAGGGTGCCAGCTCTAGGGAGAGGCTCTCTTCCTCTGTTAGTTTTGGGGAAGATCCTTGTCTCCTTCACCATCTGTGGGCCTAGCATTTCTTAGAGATCTCCATGTGTGTTGGCATAAGAGGTTACAATTCAGGATCAGAAACAACTCAGGATACAGGACAGCTTCTCAGCCATGCTCACAGGCAGGCCTCTCTGTCTCTTGGTCCTTAGACTCCTTGGCCCTTGGACCTGGCCTGGCCTCTGCCCTGCTCAGGCAAGCATTATAAAGCTCTTTAGCTCCACTGATTAGTGCCCAAAGTTCCCCTACTCTGGTAGCAAGCCTCCTGCCCAAAGGTGCTCAGATCTCTTGCTCAGTGGTACACCCACTGCACTATCTCCTGACAGGCTCCTGGATCTTCACCTGTTGGTTCTCTGCCTCTGCTTCTCACCATCTTGCACCATCTCCAATGTTAACAGCTTTCTGTCTACTGGGTCTAGGAAGTTCTCAGCACAGGGACCCAGGGTCCAAAAGATGCATTCCATTCCTGGCTCCTCTTTCTTGGTGGCAGTGAGTTCCCTGATCTCTTCTCACTTGTTTATTCTCTTTTCATCTCTCAAAAGAGACTGACTCAAGATACACCCTAATCCTGCAGATTATATTCTGGTCATTAACGTAATTGCCTCTCTTCCTGCTTCATTAACATCATAGAGGTTAGGATTTACAACACACAGAATAATTATATCAGATTAGTGATATAATTCCAGGCTCACAAAAAACTACTTCACAGTCCTCACTGATTTTACAAAAGTGTGAGAGCTTGAAAATATAAAATGCATTTATATGAATAAATCTTATTCATTATATTAGGGTCAACAGTGAGATTGCATTTAACAAAGTGTTCTGCCTTTATTTATTTATTTTTTAATGAAAGTTTGAAAACCATTGTTTCAAGTAATTCTCTCTGATATGCAGCTACTTGATATAAAAACTTAAAAATGACTTACCATTTATCTTCCTTGTGAGAAAAGGAAAAGAGGTCATAAGCCAAGCACACTCCAAACACCGTGATGCCTGTCTCTTTCACTAGCATAGCACAGGTCCCCAGAACCAAACTGAGCAGCAAGAAGAAGGGAGAAACCGTGGGAGGGAAACATTCCCCAACACAACACTGATCCAAACTCCTGAAAAACAAGTTGAGATTCTTTGAATCTAAGAAGAAATATGGGTTACTAAGAAACACCACCTTTTAAGGATAAGGTCTAATATCAATTTTATTTATTCTAAGTAATTAAGTAGGTGAGCAAAGATTTCTTCAAGAATGTTCATCATAGAATTATTTGAAATTTCAAAGATGAAAAAAAGTCAATATCCAAAAACAGAGAAATTTGTTACTTAAATTATGGTATATCCTAACAAACACTAAAGAGCCATTTAAAATGCTGCCATAAACAAAACTCGAAAACACAATAATGACCAGAATTACTGGTCAGATGGAGTCTGGTGGGACCCCCAAGACTATGGCCCTGGGATACACTTCGGGCCTGGGATAGGACTCACTCCCAAAGACTGGGTCTCAGCCCAATAGTAGAAAGACTTACATGCAGAACACCCAACTCAAGGCAATGCACCCACCTACTCTACAGAGATATACCCCTTGGAACAGTCAGCCATGGGGCACCAGAGGGGCAGCATTCACATGGAGGGAAAGCTGAACAGACAGGAATGCATAGTTAAGAAGGGAAGGGTGGGGGGATTACAGGGATGGGAGGGGAGGAGAGTGGGTTAGGGTTGGAGATGGTAATCAAGGAGTGAAACTTAATGTACATGAATTGTTGAATGTAAAACAAATTCTGCTCTTTAAATTTGCACCCAAAACAGTTAAAAATAAAATAAAATACTGCCATAGTATATGCTTAATGACTTAAAAGCTGTTTAAGTGATTATACTTTAAGCAAATAATGCAGGTTACTAAACAATATGCATGAGCTCTGAATCCAGACTACCTGGGTTCAATCACACACCTCTGCAGTTAATAGTGTGTGGTATGTGGCAAGTTATTTTCCTCTCTTGTCTTGGTTCCCTCATGTGTGAAATGGGTAACAACATTGATGGGAAGATTAAACGACTTATTATAGGTCAAGCGTTTTTTCACAATATCATGACTATTTCAGTGAAAATGCATTTATACACAGATATTCTAACTTTGTTGTTGTTGTTGTTATGTGCCGACTCATAGTGACCCCTCCTTGGGTTTCTGAGGCAGTATCACTACAGAAGTAGATTGCCCAACCCCGAATTCTAACTTTAGTCTTATCTTTTTGCTAATCTATATTTTATTTATTTTCTGTGAATATGTGTTAGGTGAAATGTATCTTCCAACAGGGATTTAAAGAATTCTCTACTGTTGTACACGCTTTCTTTCACCTTACAAAACAGAATCAGCCTCATACCAAGAAACTTCACTGTTCCCTTCAGCAGCTGCACTGGGCTCCTACTCCATTGAAGTTCAGGCCAGTATTTCTATAGCTGTGATGTCTTACCTTTGTTGTTTTCTCTTGGAATAAACCAAAAAACCAAACTCACTGCCACTGAGTCAAATCCAACTCATAGCAACCCCTCCTTGGGTTTCTGAGGTAATATCTCTATGGAAGTAGATTGCCCAGTCTTCCTTCCGAGGAGTGGCTGGTGGGTTTGAACTATCAGCCTTGAGGTTAGTGGTCAAATGCCTTAGCCACTACACCACACATGCATTCTTCTAGAGAGATCCCTACCCTAGATTTCTAAAAGTGAGAATGCCAAACTCAACAGAAACCTGTAACAACCTGGTTCATTATCACACAGATGTGGGATGCACTACAGACCCAGTCATGTTCCTACACAGATCAACCACAACTGAAAAAACCCAAGAGAACAAGCTTATGGTAAAAAATGAGTATTTGTCTTGTTATAAAACCACAGTAAATAAAAATTAATTGATGAATTTGGGTTTTTTTTTTTTAAAAATTCCATAACACCATTTTGTACAATTAGAAATACAGTGGGAGGGCACAAAATCAGGGATAGAAGACCAAGAGCCTCTTCTTTTTAAAACAAAACTTCCATGAAAAACCTAGCTCATCATAAGATTCAGTTCATTTTACTCTTGATCCAAGGCCTAATGGTTGATACAGGGTTTCTCAACTAGTGGCATTTTGGGGACAGATAATTCTTTGTTGTATGGGCCAACCTATGCATTGTATAATGCTTAGTAGCATCCTTGGCCTCTACCCACTAGATGCTAGTATTAACCTCCTCAGTTGTGGCAACCAAATGTCTCCAAACATTGAAAATGTACCTGTGTAGGAACAGAGAGACAAACTCATTCCCAGTTAAGAACCACTGGTTTAGAACAGTGCTTTTCAAACAGAATCACTGGGATTTTTAGCATTGTAGGGTGAGGATGTTTGTTAATGAGCCAATCTAAACATCAAAGTTTGCAAATCCCTAATCAAGCATCCTTGCAGAAAGGACTGCGACATAATTCAAAGCCACCCCCACCCACTGCTGTTGCCTTTATTTGAGCCATGCTCTAAACCCATTTGTCCCCACTCACATTCTCTTTTTAACTCATCCCTTTACCTATGTGGATGGTAACTACTCAAGAAACAATCTGATCACTTCCATGTTTTGGTAAAAGGATGGGTACTTTGCAAAACCACAGCTGAGAGTTAAGAAACACTATTTCCACGCAGCCTTGTTATTTTAGGCTCTGAGATAACTTTGGTGAACATTATAAGCAGAAAAGAGAGAGAGAGAGAGACTAGATGCAGATCAGATAGAAATGTTGTTGTTGTTGTTGTTATTTGCCATCGAGTCGGCCCCGACTCATAGCGACCCCTCCTTGGGTTTCTGAGGCAGTATCACTACGGAAGTAGGAATGCCCAACATTCCTTCCGAGGAGTGGCTGGTGGGTTTGAACCGCCAGCCTTCTGGTTAGCAGTCAAGTGCCATAGGCACTATGCTACCAGATAGAAAAGGAGACTTTAAACAAATCATAGGTATATAAACATAAGAAAGGGCTATACCCATTATATTTTGGCTCCCAGGTAAGATTCCAAATTCCGTTTGTGGTCAGAAACTAAAAGTAAGAGGAGACAAGAAGCGAGAGCTTAGTATACCAGCCCTGAGAGATCACTCCTTTTAAAAGGCTATACGGTTCAGAATAGGAGCTCTGGTAGCGTAGTGCATAAGGCACTCGACTGCTAACCAGAAGGCTGGCAGTTCAAACTCATCAGCTACTCCTCAGAAGGAAGGTTGGGCAATCTATTTTTGTAGTGATATCGCCTTGGAAACCCAAGGGGGACTTGTTATGAGTAGGGTCCGACTCCACGGCACATAACAACAATGGTTCAGAATGTGGATAGCAACCCAGCATAAGGGAAGGAGAGGTCTTCCTATCCCTGGGCCCCAAGAAGCTCACTAAGAATTTCACTGCCAAGAAGCCTTCCCCATCTCTCACAGGCAGATGCTCCCAGTATACACAAACAGCTGCGATTCTGAGGACAAGAGAAGACAGCACACACTAATCACAGAAGAGGGCACTGGCAGCCATACATACCTATTGTAGGAGAGAAAAGTCAACAGAAACAGCAGACAGGCTAATACATCAGCTCTGCCAACAATTCCAGCCACCTAAAAGTTAAAAAAAAAAAAAAAACCCTCAGATATTCTTAGAAAGCCATTACCAAAACATGTTTTTAGATAAAATAAATGTATATATTGTTCTTCTTCAAACTCTGATATATGACCAATATATCATATATATTTAATAATAAGTTTATAGAAGGAGAGAAAATGAAAGGAAGGGGATGACTTTCAAGCTTCACTTCATTTTTAACCTTCCATAGACAGTTAATTCACAGCATTAAAGTTTAATAACTCACTGATTTATTGAAAAATATCTTTTGCACAATGACTGTCAGACACTGTAATACTAGTATACTAAGGGACCACAGAGTATTTACAGAATTCTCAAAAAAAAAAAAGTAAGTCAAGCAATAAATAATTCTGACAGGAATGGAATGAGTATGAGTCTGGACCCACGACTGCCATGTGTGTGAGCTTATAAGTGCTTGTATGTGTGTGTTTCTTAGATCTGTCACTGAACAGGCCTAAAACTAAGATACACCACTAGCAAAAAGAGATTTTGGCACTAATCACAAGTCATTTTCCTTCTAAAGAAAATGTGGGATCCTTTAAGAAATGTCTGACTGAATGGCTGAGGCTGGGAGATACAAGAGGAGCCTGCATCATTTTATGTCACAATGTAAGGAAGGGTTCGCATCAAAAGGACACAGGAGCCAGTAACAGGAATACACATTGACCGAATCTGAGATAACTCAAGCATCAAAATAAATAAGGACAGTAATGAATTATAATGAGGGCTCTGGTGACATAGTGCCTAAGGCATTTGACTGCTAGCCAGAAGGCTGGCGGTTCAAACCCACCAGCCACTCCTTGGAAGAAAGATTGGGCAATCTACTTGTATAGAGATAAAGGAGGGGTTGCTATGAGTCAAACAGACTTGACAGCAGTGAGTTGAGATTATTTTTTAATGAATTATAAACCACTGGAAAAAACAGGCATCTATCTAATAGTCTATCTGTTTATCATACATGTTTATCTGTTTATCTGTTATCTATCTAATAGTCTATCTGTTTATCAACATGCTGGCTTGCATGTTACTGTGATGCTGGAAGCTATGCTACTGGTATTTCAAATACAAGCAGAGTCACCCGTGGTGGACAGGTTTCAGTGGAGCTTCCAGACTATGACAGACTAGAAAGGAGGTCGTGGAGATCTACCTCTGAAAACCCTGCCCAACGGAAACTTTATAAATAGCAATGGAACAGTATGATACAGGGCTAGAAGATGATCCTCTCAGATTAGATGCCACTCAAAATATGATTGGGGAAGAGCTGCCTCCTCAAATTAGAGGCAACCTTAAGGATGTGGATAGAATGAAGCTTTCAGGGACTTTATTCCCTGATGTGGCACAACTCAAAATGAGAAGAAACAGCTGCCAACATCCATTAATAATCAGAATATAGACTGTACAAGGTATGAATCTAGGAAAACTGGAAGTCATAGAAAATTAAATGGAATGTATAAAGATTGATATTTAGACATTACACTAGTATTGGCCATTTTGAATCAGACAAACATATGGTCTACTATGTCAGGAATGATAAATTGAACAGAAATGGTGTCATATTCATTGTCAAAAAGAACTTTTCAAGATTTATTCTGAATTACAATGTTGTCAGTGTTAGGATAATAGCTATACTCCTACAAGATAGACCACTTAATACAAGTATTATGCAAATTTATGTAACAACCACTAATGCCAAGATTAAGAAATTAAATATTTTTACCATCTTCTGCAGTCTGAAATTGATCAAACATGCTATCAAGATGCACTGACAAATACTGGTGATTGGAATGTGAAACTGAGAAATGAAGAAGAATTGGTAGGTGGAAAATATGGCACTGGTGACAGAAACAACGCTGACGTTCACATGACAAAATTTTGCAAGATAAACAACTTCTTTATTGCAAATACCTTTTTTCAATAACATAAACAGTGACTGTATACCAGAATCTCACTGAATGGAATACAGAAGAATCAAACCAACCACATCTGCAAAAGAAACAATGGAAAAGTTCAGCATCATCAGTCACAAGAAGGACAGAGGCCATTTGTGGAACATACTATCCATTGCATTGCTCATATGCAAGTCCACATGGAAGCTAAGAAAATTAAAACATGTTCACAAAAGCTAAAGTATGACCATGAGTATATCCCACCATTTAAAGACCATTTCAGGAATAGATTTGATGTACTGAACAAGAATGACCAAAGATCAGATGAACTGTGGTATGACATCACATAAGAAGAAAGCAAAAGGCCATTAAAAAGACAAGAAAGAAAGAAAAAGTCAACATGGATGCCAGAAGAGACCCTGAAACTTACTTCTGAATGTACAGTAGCTTAAGCAAATAGAAGAAATGATGAAGTAAAAGAGCTGAACAGAAGAAGATTTCAAAGGCTGGCTCAAGGAGTATGAAATTTGCAAAGACCTGGAGTAAAAAAAACCAAAAGGGAAGAACACACTTGGCATTTCCCATGCTGAAAGAACTGAAGAAAAAATTTGAACCTCAAGTTGCAATACTGAAGGATTCTATGAGCAAAATACTCAACAACACAGGAAGAATCAAAGATGGAATACAGAGAGTCACTGTACCAAAAAGAACTAGTTAATGTTCGACCATTTCAGGACAGTAGCATATGATCAGGTACCAACAGTGTTGAAGGAAAAAGTCCAAGCTGCACTGCAGGCACCGGCAAAAAAAAAAAAAGGGTTGCAGGAATTGATAGAATAACAATTGAGATGTCTCAACAAAATATTACTTACGTAGTTCCCAGCCAGGGAAATATATTCTGATTATAATCATAACAAAATATTAGGCAAACCCAAGATGAGAAACATTCTATAAAAATACATAAATATATATGCATATATTTATATATTAATAAATTATAAAATATAATTATATTTTTATTGTGGTCAATACAGATGTAAAAAATAAATCATTTGTCATTTCAACAATGGTATCAGTTATGTTTATCATTTTGTTCAACCATCACGACTATCCATTTCCAAATTTTCACATATAGTCAGTATTCCCTAAGTCATGATTCCCCTTTTCCTCTCCCTCCCACCACCCTCAAACCAAACACACCTATTGCTTTTGAGTGTATTCCAACTCTCAGCAACCCTAGAGGACAGAGTAGAACTGAGCCATAGGGTTTCCAAGGCTGTAAATCCTTACGAAAGCAGACTGCCACATCTTTCTCCCACAGAGCCACTGGTGGGTTCAAACTGCCAACATTTCAGTTCACAACCAAGAGCTTTAACCACTGAGCCACCAAGGCTCATGATTATATAACATTATATGTAATAATATTATAATAATTATATTAAAACATTTTTATATTCTATAAATCCTTAATATAAATGCCAAATTTTTAAATCTACAAATTATAGAAAAACAACGGAAGACTGATAACTGTTCCAAACTAAAACAACCTAAAGGAGATGAAAGAAAAATAACAATAAATGCTCTTGTTCTTAAAAAATATACAATTAAATAATTAAGGGATAAAAGGGCATGAATTATGTAATCTACTCTCAAATACTTAAGAAAATAAATATTTTATGTACCGAGGAGAAAAGAAAAGAATGGTAAAACAAATGTTGCAGAATATTAAAAACTGGTTAATCTGGTCATTAAATTATTCTTGCAAGTTTTTCTATTAATCTTTTGAAATTATTTTTTAAACTTGTTACTGAGAGGGGGACTGAAATGGAAAAGGGGTAGGGGACAGATGGGTCTTCATAACTTTGCCTTTTTTCACTTCGTAAGTGGTATGTGCATTTCTTTTATAATTGTTTAAAATCCAAGAAATACAATTATAAGGGAAAAAATGGAAGATAATTCAAAGAACACCTCAAAGAGAAAGTCACATTGAAGCTGAATCTTAAAGCTGAGGAGAAGATCATAGGATTGACATTTCAGGCAGAGAAAACACCACTACCCAAACCACAGAGGATTAGAAGTCCACAGTGTGTTAGAGAATCAATTAACAATTGATAGCAGAAAATAATTTTCTGGGAAATGTTTAATTTCCTACAGATATACTCATCAAATGAACACACTTTGCAATCATAAAGGAACGGCAATGAAAGAAACTTGGAGCTAGACCATGCCAGGTTTGCATCTTAGCTTCTTTACTTGCCATCTGAGTGTCTATGACAAGTGTTGCTTGCACTCTCTGAGATCTGGTTTGTTACCTTTAAAATAAGTGTAACATTCCCTAGCTGATGTGATTGGAATTGTACATATAAATTACCTGGCTCAATAAATGTTGGTGCCCTTCTCTCTCCTTCCTTTCAGAGAAAAGAGATGGCAGTCTCAAACACTGAGACTGGTTTTCCTATGTGGCTTGTAGAAATCATCATTTTACTTTAAGGTTTATATGGATGATATTTTAAGTTAACTAAATTAGATTATATCATAAACTTGTTAGTTAAAAAAATCTAAATAGTAATTCAATTATAGGCAAGTATATGGATGAGCATCAAGGCACATACAGAGAAAAATTGTATTCCAACCTACACCAGGAAAAACCTGCACATGGTTAAAGAATTTCATTGGCAGAACAGAGCTGAAAGCTATTACCTAACTTGGCTGTTTGGACTACACACTGTTCATTGATCGGTTAATCTATAAGGAACTAGAATGTCAAATCAGGAAGACAGCATGATTCAAGGGAGGTAAAGCAGTGAGAGTGTAGTGTCACCACAGCATCAAGGCCCAACTCAGACTGAGAGCCTGTAAGATAACAACTGTGTGCAGTTCACCTGTGAAGCGCAGATCTGTTAAGGCTACCCAAGTGGAGCTCACTATTACCCACAAGGCCTTCTTAAGGTTAAACAGAGAACTCAGCTCAAAGCAACAAAGTCTTGGGATAAGGCCAGGCATCTGGGCCTGGAAGGGCACTCATCACAGAACAACTGGATGTGCTCAACTCAGACAACAGTGAAACATGCAAGCTGATATTGGGTGTA